AACACTGAGTGCCTACAGAAGAGGTCATAGGTGAATATAACAACTACAACATGGTGGAACTGTCAGTTACTGCTGAGGAGGAATGAGCTGGCCTTTAGAATTACATTGTGTTTGGGCTTTTTATAACTGATTGTAAGCAACCACTGTTACAGACAGGATTAGTGTGGCAATTTTAAATTAAGCTGAATGAAAATTTCAAAATAAAACCTTGAATATTTCTCTCAGGCCTGTCAGGAAAACTAACTTCTTCAAGCATTTATAATTAAGTCTCTCCTTGTGTGTCACACTGACATGACAGTTGACCTCTTCTTTAGAACTACAATTCCTGAAGGTTAGAACTACAACATGGCGGAACACTCAGTGCCTACAGAAGAGGTCATAGGTGAATATAAGAACTACAACATGGTGGAACTGTCAGTTACTACTGAGGAGGACTGAGCTGCTCTTTAGAACTACAATGACTGCAGGTTAGAACTACAACATGGCGGAACACTCAGTGCCTACAAAAGAGGTCAGAGCTGATTGTCAGAACTACAACATGGCAGAACTGTCAGTTACTACTGATGAGTAATCAGCTGGCCATGACAAGTACTTGGTTTTGGGGAATTTTAGAACTGATTTCAAAACTCCATAGTTACACATGGGATTAGTGTTGCCATTAAAATTAAGCTTAATGTAAATTTCAAAATAAAAGCCTTGACAATTTTTTCATCAAGTAATTGCTCTTTTGACCACTATATAACTGATTTAACCCGATCAGTGTTAAACATGGGATGAGATTGGCCATTTAACATTAATCTCAATCCAAACTTCAAAATAAAAGCCTTAAGATTCCTTTCTGGCTCATGCCTATTTTAGGCAAAATCGCTGCCTCAACTGATAGAATTAAGTCTCCCCTGTCTGACTCACAATTGGAAGAGGATCCATTACCATGGCAACGGAACACAAAGGGGACAGCTGATTAGGACTACAAAAACGCATCACTGTAGTTCTAACTATGGCAGAACTCAGAGAACAAAGCTGGACTTTAGAACTGCTTGTGTTTTGGGCCTTTTATAACTATTTTTAACCAACCATTGTTACACATGGAATTAGTGTTGAAATTTTAAATTAAGCTTTAAAAATTTTCAAAATAAAAGCCTTGAGAATTTTTAGATTAAATAAGTGCTCTTTTGACCATTATATGTCTGATTTAACCAAATCACTGTTATACATGGGATTACATTGACCATTTAAAATGAAACATTCTGAACATTTCAAAATAAAAACCTTAAGATTCGGCCGTGGCTAATGCAGCGCCGCAGGCGCTGCAATGATATTAGCTTGCATTATCTTTTCCTCTCAAGTTAGGGCACTGTCTTGCCTATCAAGACAGTGCATTAGCATTAGCACAAACATTAGCAGTTCTCTGTTTCCCAGCAGTGCACTGCCGTAGACAGTGCAATAAGATTATCCTGCATGATCCTTTCCACTCAGGTTAGGGCTCTGCCTTGCACAGCAAGGCAGAGCATTAGCATTAGCCGTATACCTTGCATGAGGTATTAGCTATTTCCCTTACTTATTACCCATATTTACTATACATGCTTGTGACTCTCCACATTGTATTGATGATATTGCAACTTTCTTTAGCATGGATGCTAATGTTTAGCATCAGAACGCTGGGTCCAAAGCGACGGGCACACTTTGGCAGGCCCCGGTTAAATTTCTTCAGGAATTTTCTAGTTGTTATTTTTAAATTTAAATAAATACAAGCAACAAAGAGCAATGCAAAAGAAACATTATTGTAATGTCTTAAATAATCTTTCTCAAAACAAACTACCTACAAATAGAAAAAGAACAGATTATGCTGATATGAAAACGTTTCCATCTTACATTCTGTCCCACAGGAACAACCATGAGATGTTGAGAACCAGATTCAAACACCAAAACGCAAAAAAGCCGTACGGTAGAACAGGAGGGCTGCAGTACACATAGCCGTAGGCGTTCCTGCAGAGAATATTTACACACCACCAAAGTCAATATTGTAATTCAATGTTTCACTTAAGCCGAAAAAAATCATTTTTGAGCTTTTTTGCTTACTTTCTGAAGATGCCAGAGAGAACGTACACCATCACCAAAGCCAGAAACAAGTAAATGATAGTCCATATGATGAAGGTCCAACCCGATGGTGTGAGCTGGATGACAAACTGAGCTGAAATGTTGCTGGTGTCATATAAAAACGGGGCTGTATAATAAACAAGAAAAAAAGACATAAATAGAAAATCAACTGAAAGGGTAAAAATAGAAACAATGAAACAATTACAATAGGGTTAGCCTTTTTTCAACTTTTTCAATAATAAAAAAAAAAAGATACAACCATTGTAATCCAGAAAAAAATTGCTTTCTACGTCATTGATATTACAAACAATTAAGTAACTTAAATGTAATCTTTAAATTCAAACTCACAGCTTCCTGCTGCTGCCAGCGCGGAGAACACCATGGTGATGATGAAGATGATCAATGCCAGCGCCATGGCAATCAGAAGACCGGGGTTGTGCTTCGCCATTTTTGTTGCTTCAACTTATCTGAGAGCAAGAAATATTTGTTAACCAATCTACAAAAACAAGAGAGAAATGATGTTGGTGTCACATCAGGCAATCTGCGTCATTAGCAGAAACCTACCACTTATTCGCTCCTGAATGAGAGTTCTCCACTGTGTGGTGCAAAACGAGGGTCTCCACTGCATTTAAAAGGTCTCGTTGTGTAATAGCAGGACTTTTATGACATTGAATTTACGAGACTCTTCTGCACGTGTACATGTTTGAGACATTGCAACACCAGACACTTTTTTTTACGTCAATACAGATAAAAAAGAAACTTGAAAGAATGAAAAAAACAAGGTGCCACCTGAGCTGACTCCTGTTGATGACTCTTTAGTAATTCTGAATACATAAAGAGTGAGACTTTGCCCCCTTTACTGTGTTGGATAACATAGTATTTATGACCCATTCATACATTCATGTAAGCTTTCTTACCCAACCCCTGCATTATCCTTTCAGGATTGGCCAGAAAGCGATTTTAATACACCTGATCTTCAGAGTTATGAAATGTTGAGCTGAACAAAATGCATCATGGTCTTGAAAAAAAGCTGACAGCGTGTCTTATTAGCAAAGAGGTGGATTGAATGACTCGAATCATGTAAAAATGTTTCAAAATTTTTTTTTCTTTTGGTATTTCTTTTGCTGAAATACCAAAAACACATTTAAAGTGAACGACGTCAATTCTTCTGACAAAAATAAAACCTTCAGTAGTCTTTAAAGAATGCTAAAGCAATCAAAATCTGTAACTTTGTTTTTTCACTCAAACGTCAGCTCATTTTGAGTTATTATGTGGTGAATTAATAAAGTTATGCTTTTTATGTCTGTTTGTTTACATCATAGATCTGCAACTTTTACAACACAAAGAGTCCAGGTAAACAAAATGTGACAGCATATGATCTTTTTTTTTTTTTTTAAGAAAAAGGAAACCACAACTTTTCCAAAAGGAGAATGTATGTGCTTTATTCTATGGGATATTAATATCTGTGGAAAATGATGTTAAAAGAAATGCAGATAATTTCCAACCTATATACTCACAAAACAAATAGATCTGAAAAAATATGACATCTAATGTCATTTTGTGGCGGAAATTGTAGAGTTCTTCTATGAAAAACAATGGTGAAAACTGTAATTTGTTATTATATATATATATATATATATATATATATATATATATATATATATATTATATATATATATATATATATATATATTATATATATATATATATATATATTATATATATATATATATATATATATATATTATATATATATATATATATATATATAATGGTTGTTTTTTAAAGTCTCACTTTGTGGCTCCCTTGTTTCTGACCGTTGCTGTTTCTCTCCAGTCAAAAAACAAATGTATATTTATAATCCAGCCAGAATTTCTGGGCTCATCTTTGAAAAATAATAATGAATGAAGAAAAAAACTCCAATTCCCCACTTCATACATTTCTTACATACATGATGAAGAATAAAGTCTTGTGTCATAGAGAAATGGAAACTTTTAAGAGACAAAGGTTTAAATTTGTTTTCTGTTGGATGCTCAGAACATGAGGAGATTATTGGCGTAAGAAAGCAGACAGAGTTGCTACAGGACTCACAGCTAATTGAATCTCTAAACACATTTAGGCCTATCTATTTGTTTATTGACTTAATACTAATAATACACACAATCCACCCTGTCTATTATATTGCCATAATTCAGCCATTTTTGCTAATAGCATTACTACAACTCTGTACCAGTGTCATCTGATTAAGAGTTGATGAAACAGAGGACTAGTTTATTGCATTTAGTTACGAAAACGAGTTTCGATTTGATCTTATGAAATCGCAGGGCAGGAATTATGAAACTATAAAAGATTACTATGTAACCCTTCTAACTCCAACTTTTAAGGCGGACACCATGAGATGAGTGATTAAATGTGGATGTTATAAAATATGCACACAGTGATCCATATGTTTTCACACACAAATGAAGCACATTCACAAAAGTTACTCTTTGGGAAACTGTTTATTTTGTTTTGATGAAGCTTTCAGAACAGGTCGCTTGTGACCATCGCTGTTAGTAAACAAACACAAAATAAACCGTTTGGCACGTGAACTATTTCCGCATCAGTCATCCTGGTGCATAATTGAAGCTTTCTTTAAAAGAATAAAGTATTTATTTATTTTTTTTTTAACAATGACAGGCTGAACTCTGCAGATCAAACCGTCTGCAGCAGATTTGGACTCAAACATATTTTGACGTAAAACATAAACAAGCTGCAAGAAAATCATTTTTGATCGTTACAACAAAGTATTTCTCAGCTTTTGGTGGTAAAACTGAACACATGTCCAGGACATTTTTTTTTTTTTTTTTTTTTTTTTTTTTTTTTTTAGTAAATATGTACAGTTTTTGTTATTCTCATCTGAGTCTGTCAAGTTACCAGAACTTGAAAACCGGCGGCTCCATCTCTGCCTCCGTCCGCTTTTTCCCCTGCGGACAGTACCTGCGCGTGTGAGCGTGGTCCCCGCTGGCCCCGCAGATGGGGCAGGTGTAACTCCACAAGATGGGGCAGGTCACCTTCCCGTCGTCCGATCGAAGCGCGTGGGACCGATACACCCCCGGAGACTCCCCGTTCTGCCTGCAGAAGCGGCAAAGGTCCTCCGAGGTCCTGCTGCTGCTGCTGCTGCTGCTGCTGCTGCTGCTGCTCCTCCTGCTCCTGCTGCTGCTGCTGACTGACCCATTCTCTGAGGATTTTTTCCATTTCTTCCACTCCAGTGAAGTCTGGATGCTGCGCATCTGCTGCACGGGCTCCTTCCTGGGCTCCTGTGTGTCTCCGAGCTCCAGCGGACGCCGGTCGCCCACCAGGAGCGTGTTCAGGTTCATGTAGTCGTGCCACATGTCGAAGCTCTGGAAGTCCACTCTTGTTTGCGTTGTGGTCATTTTTGCAAAACGGGGATCGTCTGAGTTTGACTCCGATCGCATTGTGGCGTACTTATAGACGCGTGGACATAGCTTCAGACTGCAACAATGTTTACGACCTGTGATGGGTTGCAGGTGTTTAACTATGCAGTTTGACGTGGTCACCTTTTCAACTTAAACTCTTCTTTTGAAGAGGAGCGACATTTTTAAATTGTTTTCACGCGTCACTGTGGATGACAGACTTTGTTCAATAAGTCACCTCTCTAATTAAACTCGATCGTATGAATAAAGCTTGATGACTTTTCATACCTGTTCTGTGATTATTGACAAGTCCGATTAGATTATTATGAAAAATATTATGAGGCTCTCAATCAAAAATAATCTATGCAAACATCACATCAAATGGTCTTTTCAAACTTTGCAGACTGTTTTGTTTTGGAGGTGGTGAGTCAAATGGTCATCAATCCCTATAGAGAGGATCGCTGCTCTTCAAATCGGCCTTTGAATGTTGAAAGCCTGGAAGATTATGTTTTAAATGCTTGCACGAACAGAAATGAGGAGAACATTTATTTAACATTCAGAAATGATGTGTTTATTTACATATTTTTACCCCTCAAGTTGTTTTCATTAAGATATGCTTACAATGTCAAATTTGCTTTATGAGACCTGTTTTTAGAGGAAATGCCGAACAGATTAATGCTCAACGCTGTTATCTATTATACAAATATTAGATTTCCAGGTTGTATTGTTCATATTATTATGAACATAATACTTTTTCTAATAAGTATTAGAAGAAGAGAATAAATGTCGCTCCTCTTCAAAAGAAGAGTTTAAGTTGAAAAGATGACCCTGTAAACTGCATAATTAAACACCTGCGACCCTTCACAGGACGTAAACATTGTTGCAGTCTGAAATAGGCTATGTAGTGGCGATTGTTTGTCAAACCAAACATCCAATAAAAAGTTCCATCAGCCACTATGAGGCACTGGGGTCCAGATTCTTAACACAGGCAAAAGAATCCCAAGGTCCAAACTTGTTGATTTTCTTTGTTGCTTTTATTTTCCTTTTATGCAAGCAATTACAATTATCAAACTTTTCTTTGTTCTCTGGCACTGCTCTCTCTCTCTGTTCTCTCGCACTGCACTGATCTCTTGCACTGATCCCTTTCTCTTGCACTGGTAAAAACCATAGGCCCCAAACCCAAATGCCTGTTGGTCCTTTACCAGGCCCCTACATTTATAGAAGGTGGACTGACCCACCTTACTTCCTGTCTAGCTTACAAATGATAAAAAATAGGAAAAAATAAGAAAACAAAACAAAATATAAAAATCAATTATTAACCTGCAAATAAACTCTGTAAATAATGCAAAAAATAGAAGTTTAAGAATAAACTAACAAAATTCAAATAGATAAAAAATAAAGAATAAATAGCTCCAACACTCCGGCCCCTAATTGCGAATACTGTCGGAATTACTTTAACAAGGAAAAGGAGCTATTCCATTAAACATGTCCATACTTTCTCAGTGTGATGCTTCCAGTAGCAACAGAAGTTTGGTCACAGGTCTTTCCAAAACACTGGTCTTCGTTTGTAGTTGCACAGAACGCACCAAGCCTTTTGCATCCTGGTTTACATTTAAGACGGCCATCATCCAGGATCCTCTTGGAGCTGTAGAGTCTGCAATTAAAACAACATCTCCAGGAGTAAGACATCTTTTAGTCCTTGTCCATTTTTGTCTTTCCTGCATCAGAGGTAAGTACTCAGAAAGCCATCTTTTCCAGAACAACTCTGCCATGTATTGCACTTGTTTCCACCTTTTTCTGACATAAAGATCCTTTTGACTGAACAATCCTGGTGGCAAAACTGGTTTGTTCTTCAACAACAACAAATGGTTGGGTGTGAGTGCCTCAAGATCATTTGAGTCATCTGACACTTTGGTAATGGGTCTGTCATTTAATATGGCTTCAACTTCACAAAAGATTGTTTGAAGTCCTTCATCATCTAAAACCTGTTCTTTGAGAACTGAGACTAAAATACTTCTAATGGAACGAATCAGACGCTCCCAAACTCCCCCTTGGTGAGAGGCTGCAGGGATGTTAAAGTTCCATTTCATTCCATCCTGCACAAAAGCATTTTGAATTTTAGCATGATTCAGTTCAGCCAAACTCTCTTTCAGCTCTCGATTTGCACCAACAAAATTTGTGGCATTGTCGGATCTAATTGTGGAAACTGGACCTCTTCTACAGATGAACCTGCGGACTGCATTTATACAGGAATCTGTATCGAGAGTGTAGGCAATTTCCAGATGTACTGCACGGCTGGTGAAACAAGTGAACAGAACTCCATACCTTTTCAGGAGACTTCGTCCTCTTTTAACACTTACAGGACCAAAGTAATCCACTCCTACGTTTGTGAAAGGAGCGGTGGTTGGCAGAACTCTTTCTCCTGGCAGATCTGCCATTTTTTGTTCAACAAACTTTCCTCTGTTCCGCCTGCAAACAACACAATGAGAGATGATTTTTCTGGCAGCTGAATTACCATTTATTATCCAGTATTTTTGTCTCAATCTGGACAGCATATGAGCTCTCCCTGCATGTCCTAACTGTTGATGAATATTGCGTAAAATCAGGGTAGATACATGCATATCCTTTGTCAAAATTACAGGATGCTTTGCTTCGACAGGCATGGCTGTTTTATTCAATCTGCCACCCACTCTAAGAACTCCAGCATCCAATACTGGGTCAAGTTTGCATAGAGAACTTCTCCTAGAGACTCCTTTAAGGCCACTGGTGATGAAAGTCATTTCAGTAGCAAATTTCTGTTGTTGTGCAAACTGAATGATAGATAGTTCTGCCTTGGCCAAGTCTTCAGGAGTTAGATTTTCTTTCTTTAGAGTGGTCTTGAATCTTTGCATCTGCTTTTCCAGTTCTTTCTTTTGATTTTCTGGTTCAATTTTATTTAGGTCTGCAGCAGCAAACTCTTTTCTTTTCTGTTGCAGCAACATGAGGATGTTTTCAGCTTTAAAAACCAGGCAACAGAGGTTTTAAGCTTTGTCCATGATGAAAAATGAATCAGATAGTTCGTAGCATTTTCTGATTCCTTCACAACAACACTTACTGTTAGGTCCTTCTTGACCTCTGGGTCATCTGCAGGAATTGCGTGGTGATCCACATCCAGTTTGGGCCATTCCTCCTCTGATCTGTGGAGAAATTCAGGTCCATTTATCCATGTCCTGCATTTGAGGAACTCCTTAGCTCTCATGCCTCTAGATGCATCATCTGCAGGATTCTCTTTGGAGGAAACATATCTCCACTGATTCACATCTGTTGCTTCTCGGATAACAGAGATTCGGTTTGCAACAAAGGTGTGAAATCTTCTAGTTTCACTGGAAATATATTTTAGTACTGTTGTACTATCAGTCCAGAAAACAGGTTTTTCCAACTGTATTTGCAGCTCTTTCTGCAGCAGTTTATTTACTTGAACTGCAAGAACAGCAGCTGTCAATTCCAACCTCGGGATTGTCGTTTGCTTCATGGGGGCAACTCTTGTTTTTCCTAAAATGAAAGCAACATGTGAGATGTTATTCTTTTCCAGTTTTAAATATGACACTGTTCCATAGCCATCTTGACTTGCGTCAGAGAAATGATGAAGTTGTGCTTTATCTGGTTTCCTGATGCAACTTGGTTTGATGCAACGATCCACTTTAAAACTGGATATCAGCTGGAGATCCTCCAGCCAATCAAGCCACTTCCTAGAGAGAGAATGGGGAATAACTTCATCCCACTTCAAATTTTGTCGACAAAGTTCTTGTAGCAACAGTTTAGCTGGCATACTGAAGGGAGCCAGGATTCCCAAGGGATCATACAGTGAGCTAACCACAGACAAAATGCCCCTTCTGGTGTGTGGACGGTCCTGCACAGAGGTTCTGAACTTGAACTCGTCTGTTTCAATGCTCCACTGTAAACCCAATACTCTCTCAACTGGAAGCTGATCTGTGTCCAAATCCAGATTCTTAATTTCTTTTGCTCTCCTTTCCTCTGGGATTGACATGAGCACTCTGCGACTATTGCTGACCCATTTTGAAAGCATGAATCCTCCTTTAGAGCAGAGGTCTGTCAGCCTCTTCACCAGAAACACTGCATCTTCTTCTGTAGGAACAGATTTTAAACAGTCATCCACATAAAAGTTTTTTTGATTGTGTTAACCACTTCAGCTGGAAACTGTTGTGTGTTATCATCAGCAGCTCTTTGCAGAGCATAATTTGCACAGCTGGGTGAAGACACTGCACCAAATAAATGAACCAACATCCTGAACTCTTGTGCAGGTTTTGAAGTGTCACCATGATGCCACCACAGGAAACGGAGAAAGTTGACATGTTTTTCAGAGACATACACTTGGTGAAACATGGCGTCAATGTCAGCCATTAGTGCAACAGGCTCTTTTCTAAATCTGATGAGGACTCCAACCAGAGAGTTTGTGAGGTCAGGTCCTTGTAGAAGCTGACTGTTCAGTGATGCTCCTTTAAAAGTTGATCCACAATCAAATACAACTCTTAACTTGCCTTTTGTGGGATGATGCACCCCATGATGAGGAATGTACCACAGTTGTCCATCACCTTTCTGAAGCTCATCTGCTGGTACAGCCTCCGCATGTCCTTGCTGCAGCATGTTGTTTACACATGCAGTGTATTCCTCCTTGTACTGAGCATCCTTTTCAAATCTCCTTCTGAGGCTCTGGAGGCGCTGCTCTGCAACACAGATATTATTTGGCAAGCTGGGACTTTCATTCCTGAAAGGTAAGTCAATATGATAATGACTTCCAACAAGTTTTGTCGAGTTATTGACAATGTTCATGAAATGCAAATCCTCTCTGGACATTTCAGTTTTCTCCTCTGATGATCTTTCATTAAAATCATGATTGTACTGCTGGACCAGCATTTCTTTAAGATGCTCAACAGAGATCCTGTTGGCTGTTACAGCAGTGCAGACATTTTTATTTCTACTGTTGCTTCTAGTGCGCAAAGGACCATTTATGACCCAACCAACTTTAGTTTTTACAGCATAAGGCCCACCATCCACACTGTTTATCACCTCCCAGGGCTCTAAAACATTTGAAGCATCAGTTCCTATCAGTAGTTCCACCTTTGCATTGATGTGATGAAGCTTAACAGGCTTAAGATGAGGCCACTGATCAATGTCTTTTTGCTGGGGAATATTCAATGTAGAAACTGGCATGGTACTCTGAGTCAAAACATCTGGTAATGCTATGAAGTCATTTGTTTTCAAATTAGAGATTTCCAAACCAGACAAAACTTGTACATTAACAATCTTATTTTGATTCATTGTTCTCAGCAGAATATTTGTCCTTTTACCCTTTAAGTTCAGTCTTTTTGCCAGAGTTTCTGTACAGAACGTACCTGAACTTCCTGGATCCAGAAATGCATAAGTTTGTACAATTTTGTTGCTCTTTTGACTTTTAACTTTCACTGCAACAATAGAAAAAACAGCATCATCATCATGACCGGCCCCAATATGCCCACATGTCTGAGTGGTTGCAGTTGAGAAGTTGACATGAGACCCTTTTGTCTGTTGGGTTTGTTCTGAAGAGGCTTCTGGCTCCTTTTGCTCTATGTGAAGAACCCCCGGATGCCTTTGGTGACACACGTTGCAATCCAAACGACTCCTGCAGTCTTTGCTTGTGTGACCAACTTTCAGACAACCAAAACAAATCCCCCTTTGTTTAATGAAGGTCAACTTGTCCCGATGCATTTTAGCTTTAAACTGCATACAGTTTTCCAATAGATGATTTCTTTGTAAACAAAACAAGCAGCTGTGAAGAACAGTAGACTTGGTCTTATTTCAGTTGACTGAGTTTTGGCGTCTAGTATTGTGTTGACATTTGTGGCAAAACTGCTTCCTTTTTTCCTTTGCTTGCTGGAACTTGAGACTTTAGAGTTGATCCTAGTTTGTGGATCATGGATGTCGCCGAACACTGGATCTGATGCTACATTTACTTCTTTTACTATAAAAGCAACCAGATCAGTGAACAAAGCTCGGTGGCCATTTTGCTCCTGCAGCTCATAAGCAGTAACTCTCCATTTTTCCCTCAGCTTATATGGAAGTTTCAACACGATCGTTCTCATATTTGAAGGTAGATCCAATTCTTTCATGTAAACAATTTGTTGTGTTAGATTTGAACATCCTTGAAGGAAAAGAGAGAATGATTGAAGACTTTTCACATCGTCACCTTTTATTGTCCAACTCATAATCTTCTCCATATATGCAGAAGCTATTTTATTTTCATTTCCAAAATGTTCTTCAAGAAGATATTTGGCCCTGGAATAACCTAGCTCAGGAGGTAAGTGCTGACAACTGTGCACCAGATCTTTAGGCTGCCCCCTAGTGAACTGCTCTAAGAAGTGCAAACAGTCGCTCCAGTTGTCAGTTTTAGCTTCCACTCCGTTCTCAAAAGCATTCATAAATGATTTGTACTGCAGGGGATCCCCATCAAACACGGGAATGTTTCTAGATGGGAGGGCAGACGATAAATTTTGCTTTACAAGTAAGGCAGTGATGTCATTTTGTCTTTGCATGATGTTCACAATTTCATTCTGACAGTTCTCAGTCTCAGAGGAACATTGAAATTGTGTTTGCGTTGTTTGAGTTGAAGAATCAACTTTTACTCTCTTTTGATCCGTTTTAAGTTGTTTCTGCTTTTCTTTAGGTCTGACGACAGGAAGGTCAGATGAAGAATTTGCTGTTTCTTTGGGAAAAAACTCATCAGCGCGAGGATTTAGCAGCGGCATGTCCTTTACTTTAGCTCTTTCAAAATAAGAGTTCATTCCATCAGATCGTTTAGAACCAACGACTGAATTCATTAAGACATTAAGTTTTGCATTGGTTGCTGCCAACTCTATTTCCAAATTTAATTTTTCCTTTTCTTTCCTCAGCTTCTCCTCTTGCTCTTCGATCAGATGTTTTTTGTCCAACGCGACGAATCTCTCCATGAGCGCCGCCTTTTCAGCTGCAGCTTTAATGCGAGCAGAAGATGTAGATGAAGTCCGAGAAAACTGTGAAGATGTTTTTGAACGTGGCTTTACACTTGAAATATTAGAAACACTGTCTTCAGGATTTATTTCATCCACCTCTACAACTAGATCATCACCAACATTATTGTTTTGTTCAGTATATGGATATCCTGCTTCATGCAACCAAACCTTTACATTGTCCATAAATTCAGAGAATGCCACCACCTTGGACTGAAAATACACATTTTGCCTTTTCACTTCTTCTTCTGGCAATGGCAAATTCAAAAATGATTCATGTAAATCAGTTGCATCTTGATAGCATTTAATAAACTTGGCAAAGTCAGAAGACACTTTCTTAACATTTTCTTGTGACGTCATTAATGCGGAGATTTTCTCCACAAGGTTTGAAGCTTGTTTGCACTTTAAACTTCGTTTTTCTTGACATGTTTTCACATAAAACTCCAAACCCTTTTGTGTGAATTTGATGTTTCTTTTCTCTTGTGACATCCGAGTGTCATCCTCTTTGCTCTTTACATCAGACATTTTTAGCAATCCTTTGAATTATTTCAAACCTTTAAAGGGACATTAATCAACAAGGAATCCACAGGATGAAGCACAAACTTGTCTCTTTGTTTAAAGAGGTTGATTCTTGTGAACAAACATTTCCATGATGGGCGTCGGCACACGTCTGAATCCAATTATGCGTCAATTTGTCACATCAAACTCATCTCATCAGTCTTTGCAGTGAAATAATGTCTTTAAACTCCAGTAGTTTCACCGTTTGTCCTTTACGGCTTGAACAATATTGTCACGTACCAGTTTGATGAATGAGTGACGTGTCAATCCAGGCCTCACGCAGCAAGTCGCTTGATTTCATCAAAGACGGTCCAAAACCTTTTGTTTGATGGTAATCCTTGAGATCCACAAATCCAACATGTCCATTAAGGAGGAATTATTCCTTTTAATCCACAGGCTGGTTCCTTACTTGATCCATGAGAAGGTCTTTACTTGTTCCACAGGGTGGGTTTTTACTTGATGTAGTGGCGATTGTTTGTCAAACCAAACATCCAATAAAAAGTTCCATCAGCCACTATGAGGCACTGGGGTCCAGATTCTTAACACAGGCAAAAGAATCCCAAGGTCCAAACTTGTTGATTTTCTTTGTTGCTTTTATTTTCCTTTTATGCAAGCAATTACAATTATCAAACTTTTCTTTGTTCTCTGGCACTGCTCTCTCTCTCTGTTCTCTCGCACTGCACTGATCTCTTGCACTGATCCCTTTCTCTTGCACTGGTAAAAACCATAGGCCCCAAACCCAAATGCCTGTTGGTCCTTTACCAGGCCCCTACATTTATAGAAGGTGGACTGACCCACCTTACTTCCTGTCTAGCTTACAAATGATAAAAAATAGGAAAAAATAAGAAAACAAAACAAAATATAAAAATCAATTATTAACCTGCAAATAAACTCTGTAAATAATGCAAAAAATAGAAGTTTAAGAATAAACTAACAAAATTCAAATAGATAAAGAAATAAAGAATAAATAGCTCCAACAGGCTATATTAAATGTAAATAATTATATTATATTATATATAGGCCTATTATTTTAAATTTTTGCAGTTTGTGATTTTGTGCAATAACATATTTTTTGAGAAAAATTATAAGAAAATAATAATAACTGTAAGTCACTAAAACTCATTGATGTGTATATGTGTATATGTGTGCGTGTGTGGCTGCACAGGTGACCCGTGATTCATCTTAAGCCATAAGATGGCCATCGGCGCCGACGTGTCTCGTCTAATCCACTTCAAAAATATAGAACATTAAAAAAAGTGACACCTGCACAGTCAAAAAAAGAGACACCTGCACAGTCAGGCTGCACATTATCAGGGGGCGGACCTATGGATGCAACTTGCTTTGAAGTTAAAAGCGTTCTTCTTGAAGAAAAATAAAACAGCTTATAAGTAAAATATTAATAGACAAATAGCTAGATGTCTAGAGATGCAAACTCTGGATCTGTATGGAACATGTTTTATTATTTTTTAGGACAGTGTTTTGACTGTAGAAACAGACAACCGCTTTGTTTGTGAAGTAAAACGCATCTTGTAGGCGGAGCTATTGTGCGTAAGCGAAGTCTCAGTATTGCGCATGCGTACTGGTTGACATACCGGCGACGGTAGTTCGACGGTGGCCTAGCGAATACAGGGGATTACGAGCCCAATCTGACAGGTCAGAATATTACAAGTATCTGCATTTTGAGATTCATAATGTTTCCCACTAATTAATTTGGAGAAAATAGTTTAATTCCAGTCAAAAGCGTTTGGAAATATTTGGTTGTCCAGTGTGCTGAGGTGGGTTTCGCGCTAAGCTAACGTCCAGTTAGCCGCTGTGCGACTGTTAGCTTGGGGTGTTGAATGCGGCCAACACTGGCTGTGACATAACCAACTTGACCGATTGGGGACATCATTCTACCTTATACCGGTGCTTTTTAATATGCGTGAATATGTAAAGGACATGCTTAGGATACCAAATTAAGTTTGGTTTGCTGGTAGTTGGGCTGTGTAAATCCACAGAAAGCTAGCCCTGCTGCTAGCAGTGTATCTTGAAATGTTGTGAGTTGTTAAGCAATGTTTGTTTAGGGGAATGATCTACGTATTAACTGTTTAACATTGAAAGCAGCTGAGGCTGCAATATCGACTCTTTTGCTCATACTGACAGCTGTCACATTAGCTCATCTCGGAGCATGCATGTAAGTACTGATGCAAGCATGTTTTTATGAAGGGCTCTGATCCAGCTGTTAAGATAAACAAAATTTGACAGGACCGAAAGATTAGGGTGATGATAAGAGGGCCTTCCAGCTTCAAAGACGCGAAGTTCATTGCAAAAGCTGAAGGATCAAATACATTTGTGAAGAACAAATTCAGAAATCATAAGGGGCATTTGACTTCTACCAACAAAGGCTTTTCCGCTCATTATTCATTGTGGTTCATGAGTTTGCAGTGTTTCTTTCTTTTGCTAAAATGTATTTGTGTTTTTTATCAAAATTATATACTTTCTACATTGATTATTTTTTTAATAATCAATTGTCTGTGTCTTAAAATTTTAACAAAAGTTTTGGTTAAACAAAAATAACTTTAAATCTTATTCCTCAATGGATATGAATCATTTTGAGCTTAACTGTGCTTACAGTTGAATTAAATATGAGTAGTCCAGCTAAATCAGTATCCTGGGATGTACATAATTTACAATTATGAATTATGAGATGTGCAAGATGACTTTGAGTTTGCATCTTTTCCCTTTTTGAAAGCACATGTTGCCATTTTGTTGCCTTTCTTCCATTTTTGTACTTTAAATGTACCATTTTTTTAGCACTGTATTTTAACCCTAATGTATCAATTTAGATTTTGCTTGGGTGAAGCTGCAGGCTGCTCCATTTCATACTCAAAAAGTTGTACACAAAACTGCAAGAGGTTAGGTTACAATGAATTTCCGTATGGGGCCGTTGGAACAGTAGTGGAAACGATTTTGAGAATCCTTTGCTAATAATAGCTGCTTGTATCTTGTCAGGGTACACCATGAGTCAGAGTAAGGACAATGCAAGACTCAAGAGCTACAAGAACAAGTCTCTCAACACAGATGAGATGAGGAGGAGGAGGGAAGAGGAAGGTCTGCAGCTCCGCAAACAGAAGAAGGATGAACAAGTAAGTAATTCATGGTGTAAAAACAAACTGAAGTAACACAGCTGATGTACAGGATTTGTTATATTGTAATTACAAGGGACTGATACCTCATGTATGTACATAGTGTCTGAAAGGCTAAAACTCACAAACTGGATGGATGACGTGAGATGGCAAATGAAGAATAAACATAGTAGCTTTCATCAGTGTTACAATAAAATACTTCCTGATATCATGCAGCGCTTGTGATATCCCAACACAAACCATCACACATTACAAAATGGGAACAAAAATGAAATATTCTAGAAATTAAGGGAAGTGCTTTTGTATTTCTATTCTGCTCCATTTCCTTTTATATCCTTAAATAAAATCCATTCAATTACCTTCAAAATTTACAAAATTATTAAACCCCTGTTTGCAATTAAATTTGGTATAAAAACAACTGTTTTTTGAGAGTTTTATTAGCCAACAGTGGTGAGCAAACAAGTCAGTAAAATCCAGACTTTAAAACAACATTCCCAACTTCAAGTTGATATGAATCCACTGCAAAGTACTGTATGCACCTTCTTAGGTGTGCTCTTTATATTCATGTAACATTAAGGTAAATAAGACAAAAATTATACTTGCATGTTCCAATTCTATTGCAGCTTTTTAAAAGGAGAAATGTTGCCACTGTGGAGGACGATGGAGCCCTGGAGGATGATGGAATGGCCGACAGCGGCTACCTGGAATCACAGGCGAACAACCTGGATCCACTCATGGTGAGAAAACATTTAAAAAAACATCCTGGTTCTCCGTAAATAAAAAAAAAAAAAACTTCGATAAAACCAGATGTAACCAAATTGTATTGCAGGGTGGGGTCATCTCTGAAGACATGATTCAGATGATCTTCTCCAGTTCTCCAGAGCAGCAGCTAATAGGCACTCAGCGCTTTAGGAAACTCCTTTCTAAAGGTACAGCTGCAAGTTTCACTCATGTGTACATCACTAATGGCTGTGGACTTTATTCTCTGAAGCACATCAAGTTCTGCTTGTCATTAAATGATCTGAACCTATGAAATAATGATATTGTTCAAAATGCAAGGATTATCAAAATCTGTCATCATGAGCAATTCTATTGCCTATGCATGATTTTAAATATAATTTAGGTAAAACTTCTCCATCTCTCCAGTATTTAATTTGGACCTGTTCTTTTCCCTTCTTCTGTATTTGTCACACAGAACCAAACCCACCCATTGATGAAGTTATTGCTACTCCAGGGGTTGTGGAGCGTTTCGTTGAATTTCTGAGGAGGAGAGAAAACTGTACACTGCAGGTACATTTACATACTGATTCTGCTCAACAGTACAAGTGTGGAAAATCAGAAAGATAGGATTTCAGTTTGGTTAGCTTCCATGTGTAAGCTCTTAACTCTGCAGAAATCTCTGCTTTACATTAAATGCAAAGTTTTGCATTTATGCTTAAAAAAATTCTCTTCACACATTGCGTTCCTTCTCTAGCATCCTACATATTTTCCTCATGTTTAAGGGTTACCATTAAACCTAACGTTGCTGTACACTTTTTCATGTTCTGTGTTTTGTTTTAGTTTGAGGCTGCGTGGGTCTTGACCAACATTGCTTCAGGTACATCCCATCAAACGCGCGTTGTGATCCAGGCAGGGGCCGTGCCCATATTCATAGAGATGCTCGCCTCAGACTTTGAGGACGTACAGGAACAGGTAAGAACTTTCCTTTTCTGTTCAATTATCCTGTTCAAAACACACTTGCATGACTTTTGTTACATTTACAGTTGAGCTTAAATGGCTGCTTTTCCCCTTAGGCAGTGTGGGCCTTGGGAAACATAGCAGGTGACAGCACAGAATGCAGAGACTTTGTCATAGACTGTAACATTCTTCCCTCTCTGCTGCAGTAAGTAGCTTCTCAATTTCCTTGTCTTTTCGATACTACTCATACAATTCAAATGCAGTTTCGCAAACTGGATCTGTAAAATTCTCTTTGCAGATTATTGGCCAAACAAAATCGTCTAACAATGATGAGGAACGCAGTGTGGGCGCTGTCCAACCTGTGCAGAGGAAAGAACCCACCTCCAGATTTTGCCAAGGTAATTTGCCAGGACAAAGCATCACTATGGCAACTGCCCACATCTCAGTACAGCATTGCTTGCCTTTCAAGGTCACAAGCCTGTTATCGCTCATATCTTAATTGCACAAGTTTTTTTCCTAACTGGACTTGAACACAATGTTTTCTCTCTCAGGTATCCCCGTGTCTCAGCGTGCTTTCCTGGCTGCTGTTTGTTAACGACACAGACATCCTTGCTGATGCATGCTGGGCGCTCTCTTACCTTTCTGATGGCCCCAATGACAAGATCCAGGCTGTTATCGACTCAGGAGTCTGTCGAAGGCTTGTGGAACTGCTGATGTAAGTCATACAGGGAAACTGCAGATCATTTTACAAATATGCTGACGGAAAATATGACTTGTTTATGGGCTATAAGCAAACAAACAGAATTGCACACTTATTATAGTTTACTAAAATAGTCACAGAGTCTCGCCTGTGCACATCATTTCAACTGCGTTGAGTGTACTGTTACAAATGCAGCTGCCTCTTAATAAACAAAAATATGCATAAAATATTGAGAGGATTTTAATGTAAAACCCCTTCCAGAGTTTTGGGAGATTCACAAGGCCTGGGCTTCCTGAAGCCACAAGTTGATCTATTACTGAAATTATTGAATGTTTTAATGACATTATAATTCACAAAGATGTACTTTGTTATTTTACTGAATTGAAAAATAAACAACAATGACGACAATCTGTGATTCTGCTCTCTTTCAGGCACGCTGATTATAAGGTGGTGTCTCCTGCACTGAGAGCTGTTGGAAACATCGTCACTGGAGATGATCTGCAGACACAAGTACAGGCAACATCTACTTCAACTGAGTATTAATGTCTGGAGAAGTGTGAATTTTCTGACTGAGTCAAATTTATATCATTTCAGGTGATTCTGAACTGTTCAGCACTGCAGTCTTTACTTCACCTGCTGAGCAGCCCCAAGGAGTCTATTAAGAAGGAAGCTTGTTGGACAATCTCCAACATCACTGCAGGGAATCGAGCACAAATACAGGTGCGTTTACATTTTCTCTTTTATCTTAACTTTAAAAGTAATTAGAAGACCTGATGAGTTCCTTCCCTTGTTGGCAGATGGTGATAGACGCGGGTCTGATGCCTCCTCTCATCAGTATTCTGCAAGTAGCTGAGTTTCGCACAAGAAAGGAGGCAGCGTGGGCTATTACCAACGCCACCTCCGGCGGCTCTGCAGAGCAAATAAGGTAAAACTCAAGTGCTATTTGAGAAAAGAAATTACATAATAAATTTGAGTTAATTTTTGTGTAGATTTGTTACAAAAGATTATATGTCCTTTAAGACTATGAACTTTATTCTTTGCATTTTTTTATAAATCTGTGGAAGCCTTAAAACAAAAAAACAGCATACTCCAAACAATAGTAAATAAACGTCTTTATTGTGTTTAATATCGTAAGATTTAATCTAGCCATCTTTACTTCATCCTAAGACTTCATGTATGGTTAATTTGATCAATTTTAATTGGGTTTGACAGAAATCTTGTTCCAAAGACAATCCCTTTTATTGTGATTAAGTGATCTAATTTTTACTGTCTGTACTGCCCCCTGCAGGCATCTGGTGGAACTTGGCTGTATAAAACCTCTGTGTGACCTTCTCACACTGATGGATTCCAAAATAGTCCAAGTGGCTCTAAATGGTCTAGAAAACATCCTGCGACTGGGAGAGCTGGAGGCCAAGAGAGGAGGAGGCATTAACCCGTACTGTGCTCTCATCGAAGAGGCCTATGGTTAGAATCATACATCCTTTCTTTTTGCAGCTTCCATTTTCTGTCTTGCCATTAAATCTGCTGTATATTCCAATTTTGATGAAACCTCATTATGGAATTTCGAGAAGAAAAATGTGCCGAAGACATGATTTTTATGTTTCCATGGTACAATAAAGACAACTATTTCCAGCTCTAACTTCCTCTGTTCCCTCTTAGGCCTGGACAAATTAGAGTTCCTGCAGGGTCACGAGAACCAGGAAATCTACCAGAAAGCCTTCGACCTGATCGAGCGCTACTTCAACACCGAAGACGAGGACCCTTCGCTGGCTCCGGCCGTCGACCTGCAGCAGCAGCAGTTCCTCTTCCAGCAGTGCGAGGCTCCGATGGAGGGCTTCCAGCTATAATGCTAAAAATCTCCCCCAAGCTCCAGCTTCACCTTCATCTACGCTCACGTCTCAGTCGCTGCCCACAGCCAAGACCCAGAGTGACAAACAGCCCTGCTCCTCCCCTTTCCCAGCGAGATGGATTCAATCATCATCTTGATCGTTATCATACTACGTAACAGTGAAGAAGCACATATTTGTGCATACATCCAACATGGGTCAAGTCTTGTCAGCCAGTTCATCAAGGTTCACTTTATTTTTCTGTTTTGTGCCGACTTCCTGGCCATAGCTCCAGCATCTCCTGTCAGACCATTCCCATACTCCTCATCAGACAGAAGAACATCCTTCTCCTTGTTGCCATAGGAATAGCAAGCACTCTCTCAGCCAATGGGAGAATTTGGACTGCCCTGCTTGTCTGAAGCATTAATGACTTGGAAGATGGACAAATATTGACCCGGTTCCCCTTAATTTGTCCTACAACACAGAGAAAGATCCAACCTAAACAATGGACTGACCCCGAGACATTGACCTCATCTTTGAGTGCATCACTTGGACTGACTAAGAAAGGCACTTAACTTGAAAAAAAAAATGGAGGATTAGTTTCCTCAACTTTTCTCAGAATCCACACATAGACTCAATTAGAAACTTGACTGTGTCGCTGCGCGGTGGATTGCTCGCATTCCCACCCTGATCTCATATCATTCCTTCTTACCAGTATTGGGACTTTTCCACATGCACTGGCTCCACCTTCAAGAGTTTAAACTGCCGCATCTGATTTAAAAACCCCATGGAACCATGGGAATTGGAGTCTTCCCTCGCACTGAGACAATTGGACTTGGACAAAACTAAACAGACTATATAGCCCTGGATTCTGTCCAGCAGCAAGCCAGCGGGATTTTCCGTTTTTGTTTTTTTTTTTTTTTTCCGTTTATTAAACCGTTTCATTTTATTTGCAGCACTTTAGTTCTGGACTTTTGCCTGTTCATCGACAGTAGTCTTTATGTTTGCTATTTAAGTTGTTTGATGATACGGCTCTTCCCTCAGGAAGCGAGATGTAAAGAGTCCAGGCCCTCACTCCTGGTATGACAAACGTTACACTGTTTACCCTTCTACCAAAGGGGAATTCGAGCAGATTGTGGACTGAAATTGCCAGCAAACTCTTGTCAAAAATTGGGATTTTTTTTATTCCCTCAGCAAAACTAAAACAACTCTGCATTTGGTGAATTGGCAGTTTTAATCTTTGAGCAGTCTAACACGAATCCAGATAAATGTTTGCTGTTTGATTATGCCAAATCAAGACATGTATCAGACTGAAGAATCAAGGTTGGTCTTTTTTTTTTTTAATTGGGAGTTAGCATCTTTAGTTGTTGGTGCCATAATCCCTAATATATGAAAGTTTTTCCATAAAACATCAACAGAAAAAAAAGGAAGAAAAAAAAACATCCAGATTAAACTTGAAAATCCTCATGATCATTGTAGTTAGCACAACTGAATGTTTGTTTACCAAGTACTCTTCTCATGTTGCTTAATTTTGTCAAAAGTCTCTTCAAGAGATGACCAGCTCTTCGTGTTCATTACTGTTTGTTGTACCAAGTTTGTGCATCTGTTCTGTTCTGCCATTTGCATAAAAGTCATTTCAGAAACTCCACAAACAGTGGCACGTGGATCAGTTTCATTGCTGCATGTGATTACCGTGTGTTTCGCCAAGGTAGAAAATGTTCATTTCAGTTTTATTCAGTAATTTTCTCATAAATGCTTGTTTGAAATTGTAATAGAGAGACTATAATCTCGTGTTTTTTCAAATAGTCCGACATCAAAATCATAAAATTCATGTTCAGTTTGAGTAAAACCTCCCAGGTAAGTTTATTAATTAATAGAACATATCTGAAGAACAATTACTTTATGAACGAGAACAAGACAAAGAACCCAATTACACTGGATCTACTGTCTCTATTAAATTTTCAAAGTAAATACAGGTATGTATAAACAAAGGGAACAGTAAATTTTGCATTTATCCAGTGAGAAAAGTTTTATTCTCCTTTCATTTAATTCCTCACTGCAACTCCAGGCTTGGTACCACTACAGATTTCTCCTTTCCTCTGAGAACCCCAACTGTTTGGAAAACAGTCACTCCTTAAATGTCTGGGGGTTTTTTTTTTCTACAGTTAGATCTGCAATGTGAGGCTAATCGCCTGTTTGGCAAAAAGTCCCACTGAGTTCAAGTTCAGTGGAGGACTCTGGGAACTAGTCCATAAGTTGAGAGCTTTGGTACAAACACTAATTAGGCAAAAATACAGTTGATACCATGTGTTTACATGCATGGAGAAAAAAGAAAAAACTAAAAAGACAACAACCTGTCCAGGTTTTTTTTTTTCCTCACTGACAATGCATCAAAATATTTCTATTTGGCAACGCCAGATGATGATGTTAAATTGAGGCAAAATTGTGGATGTATTTTAAATGCCGAAAGCTGCTTTCTAATGTAATGACATCAAAAAATTTAAAATAAATCTAAGATACCGGAAAAATTACTGCAGATCTCCAAATGTCTGGTTCAGTGTCACCTACAGTTTCCAGATTCCCAAGTGTCAGCTGTTATCAGAACGGGAATGTCCAGCTGCACTATTGATTAAGGAGACTGTGAGATGGACCTGTTCTGTGTGAAATATGTGAACCACCCTCAGAAGACAAGCGAAAGACGTGAAGATGCTTGCTGAACTCATGCCGACATGTACGCGGGAAGAAAGACCTTGACGTTTTTTGCCATAATGACCGTAGCCTAGTAAAATCCTTGCCCTACACTTCGCTTCGTACAGATGGTCTGGACTCTCGGCTATTGAGAAATTATTGCTTCCAGGAGGCGTGGACTCTGTTGAAGTATTTAAATTTCACCCAACCGCTAACGCTTAGCTGTGATGTATCCACTTTGCTTACCAGAAACTGCCTGCGCTATAAACAACCATCCTCCACGTCAAAAGAGAGAAGTGCCAAGCTGAGCAAGGCGACTGTTATTTGAATATTTGTGGCCAAACACTGACTGAACTGCTTCGTTAGCTTCCTCCGCTGCCATTGCTAAAACTACAGGCAGACTGTGATTCTTAAACAGATCAGAAAACTTTCACAACTTCTACTGTTCGCTGATTGGCCCTGTTGATGATCTACTGGGGGAATCAACTTCAACGGGAGAAATAGTAGACGGAGCAGAAAGGAGATGAGAATCGAGCAAAACTGCAAAAGAAGGAGAAAGAAATTCTCTGGGAGCATTAGTATTTTAGCTGCTAAAATTATACATCAGATGTGGTAATTAAGAGAATGAGTTGCAGAATGAGATGTACAGTGTTCTATTGAAAATTTCATCAAGGCAGTCCTTTAAGACTGCAATATTCCATGTATTGATCCATCACTAACCTAACTCACTGAAGACAGCAAAGGTTCAGTCTGATTTCATCTCAAATAATAAAGAGGGGGAGAAAAGTTGAGCATTTTTTTTTATTGTGTATGCAAATATCTGGTTGCAACTGTATTATGACTAATAAGCAGAACTGTCCTCTGTCACTCAGTCTTCTTCTCAATGTCCTCCTTCCATTTGGCTTTCTTCTCATAGTTGTATATAGACAGGGACTCATGTCTGCCAGCAGCCTGCAAACAAACAGAATGGAATCTGGATAAGACCATTTTGATAACCATGAACAATTTCAAGTCCAAGCCAGAAGTTTCTACTCGCCCATTTTTTATGCATTCTAATATTCTGAAGTTTAATGGTTAATTTGGGGGGGGGGTGGAGAAATGCTACAAAATACAAAAATTTAGTGCAGAAACTTTAATGTGGACTTTTTTCAAATTCACGTAGGACTGAAATTATACATGCTCTGACAAATCTTGATATATATTTATGCCTACAAATGGCCTTTTGAAGGTCCAGATTTGTATCCAATCAAGAATTTTTGTTACTGCATAAACTACACAAGCCTATTCAATCAAATGTGACTAAAGTGAACGTTTTTGTGAAGAGAAACAGGCAAAATTCTCAGTCTGTGCAAACGAAGATTGTAAAAACCTCAAAACGCATAGAAACTACAATTGCAGCTAAACGTGGCTTTGCACAGTGCTGAGTCTGGGGTGAAAACAGATGCTACACTTTTCAGGCTTTTGTTTGCTAAATAAATTGTTAAACCGTGCAGCATGTTCTTTCCAATTATTCACTCAGCTATGCTGAAACACTCCAAGATCTTTTAGTTGTATTATTTTTGTAAAGCACTGTATGTACTTTAGCGTCTCAGTATAATTTTGCATTTGATGTCGAATTGTGAAATCTACCAGATGTTTACACTTATGCGTCTCTTGTTTTACAAAAATAAAAATAAATCACTGAAGTTCTATGTTATATACTCATCGCTACCTGAGACAGATAAACAATTTACCTGCATATTTATAATCCCATAATTCAACTCCATTCCAGTTTATAAGATGCTTTACGACTGCAGCTTTCCAGTGGTGAAACTACACTACGGATCAGTTTTGAGACATTCAGTCAAAACAAAGACACCTGACGACTTCACCTTTAGCCTATTCATGATGACTCAGCAGAATTGACGAGCACAGACATGAACACATTCCTGTTCTACTGCATCACTGTAATCCCAGAACACAGAGCAACCGGATCAGAGCCACACGTGGGTGCGATGAATTTCTGCTTTGTCACTCACCTTTTTGCCCATAATCACCATCAACACACAGGATCCTATTGTCAACGCCATCATCACGTAGGCAGCTTTCACTCTGATTTTGTTCCTGGCTTTGTCAATCGTCTCAAACCTGTGGAAAATATAAAAACCCACCATGTAGTTGGTTCAGAATAGGCGGGAAACAACAAAAAGGACGCAATCATTATGCTGTTTTTCTTTAGGCTATTTCGACACAAAGGCTGACGTGTTCCTTTATGTCAACGGAGTCAAGGAAACAATGATTGCTGGATTTTCAAGCTAATCTTCACATGATATACAAATGTTTATAATCAAGCCTATCAGATCTTTCAACAAGCTCCTGAGCTGCTCTGCTGCTGCTGTTTGCTTTGGACACAGAGCTTCCGTGTCGACACTTACAGGTGAGCTGAATTTACCTCATAAGCATGACAAGCAGATCTTTATCTAATCACAGCAGCAGATCAGATGTGATCTCCACCCTGATGTCAGGAGCCACATTAATTACCTCCAGGCACAAACAGACCCCTTGTTTGAACAAAGGACGTCTCAGAGGGACCAGCTCCACGCCGCACGGCCGCTCATCCACTTAGCCAGCTCTGTTTTTGTGATGTGGAGGCAATCGGATGGCAGTGCGCTCGGGTAGGGGAGGTCTGGCATAAACAGGAAATGGCTACTCACGTCACAGTCTCTGGGATCTGTTCCATGGACTTGAAGCGGCCTGTCCACACTAACATCTTCCTGTCCAAGTTGGAGGGGCTGTAGCCGGGGGGTTTGAATGAAGCTTGCGGTTCTGTTCAGAGAAAAGAGGGGCAATAAGAAGTGGCCATCAGTATCCATTAACTTGACTCAAATCAGGGATTTGCTCCATCGCCCAGAGATTGTGGCCCCATTTCCTGTGCTCCTCTTGGCCTCTTGGGACGACAAACAAACAAACCTAACGAGCGTGATGCACAAGATTGATGGGGAAAAAGTCCAGGATGCTTCAAAGCATTCAAAATGACAACTTGTCGTCTGCTTCAGCACTTTTTATGACAGGGCAGCTTTTAGTTAAACTTTCTCATAAATGTCATCCAGCGTGTAACACCTTTCTATAGCGCAGCTGAGATCAACAGATGATAAGTAGATCAAGTTGCACTGCAGGGAGGGGCATGTTGAGACCAAGACTAAAATAAAAGAAAAAGGCAGTTTGCCTGAAATCAAACACCTCACCTTGTGCTTCTGCTGGGGAGGACTGTGGCTTGACCTCTGGAAGTTTATTGCACATCCCTCGTACCCTCTGACCTGGACAGAAATGAAACAGATGCTCTGTATATTTCAACTATTCACACATTCTCTAGTTATGAGATGATTTTCTTGCCTAGATTCACATCGCAAAATATTAGACCAACAAAAAACACAAAATTAATCTTTAACAACAATAATAGCTTATTCAGTTAAGCTACTGTTTATTGGTTTTAGGCCACTTCATACAACTGATGAAAATAGGTTGATAAATATTATATTTAAAAAAACACACTTAAAGATAGATTATTAGAAAATAATTCAAAATACTGGCTGAAGCAGAAGAACTGAGTTGAAATACTCTACATTACAAGAAAACCTAATCATCCAAGACGGTTCTTCTGACCACATTTCTTTTTCCTTCACTAATGCAATGAGCCAACTTGAATTTTTGAGCAATCTCCTCTAATGTTTTCTTTGCCTGACCTATGCAAGTGCGAAAATGTAAAATTCGAACATCTTTCTCAGAAATTGGATGCAAATTAAAAAACATAGTTGTTGAAAACAGCTACCTTGCTTTAATGATAGGTAGTGAGCTTTTGTTTGTTTTTTTCTGGACAAGTCAAATAAATTGAATAAAAACTTCAAAAGATCAATGTTAAACTTAAAGCCAAAGTTCAAGTGAATCAAACCACTTTTTCAAAAGAAATAACATAAAACCTGTTGAACAGAAAATAAATAAATGATAATTACCCAAGTTAATCTAAGAGAAAATGAGTAAAAGTAAATTGCTAGGCCTAGTAAAAAAAAATTAATTAAAAACATCAAAATGTGGAAAGTGGACTGCAATCAAATTAGAAAGAAGAATATAAAAATGATAAAATCAAAGGTTTTACTATAAATGTAAATTAGAACAGACTTGTTTTTTTCTAATACTTGTTACTCGTGCAATAAACAATAACATGACCTGGAAACACTCTTACCAGGAACTGCAAACAGCTCCTATTAAGTCCTGAGACGTGTCAACATTCACTTTAGCATCATCACACCAAGCAAATATGCATCTAGTGGGTTATTTTAGCGATCAAATAACCTCCACAAAGAATTACAAAAATGCTAACTGCATAGTTTTAGAAAAGCCAATAACAACGAGTATGAAGATGGTGGAGTTCGCTAGTTTGATTCTTGAGATCCATGAAAACTAAAACAAAAACAAAAGCAAGCCATACGAACCGAAAAAGTTGCCCGTAAATAGGCGAGATCTGACGAAATTCATGGCTGTACGGATTACCGACACCCGGTGTGTCCAAAAACTGCAGCGAAGAGCGGGGGAACTCTTCCCCTTCAGCTACTGAAAGTCAACTCGCTGTATGAAAACAGGGCCGCCGCGGCGCTGACGTAGAATACGTCGCATTATTTCAGGATTGCACGTAAACGTGGCCGCCATGTTGTGATGGGCACTTTTGGAAAAAAAAAAAAAAAAAAAAAAAATATATATATATATATATATATATATATATATATATATATATTATATATATATATATATATATATATATATATATATATATATATATATATATATATATATATATATATATATTAAAATCTTTCTTTACTTTTAATCTAAAGAAAGGTTTGTGTCTCGAAAGGTTTTACATAAATAAGGTTTTACATTCTGATTGCACAGTTTGTGAACTGTAAATGTAAATGACTTCCCATTACTATGGGCACAACATTTTACATTGCTTTAAATATGGCTCCAACAGTTCAAGCCAAATCTAGCAAAATGTAATAACTGAAGATGATCTATAAATATTTCGTTCTCCAAGATTCAGTTCCTGCAATGATGGTGACATGCAGGTTGTTTTGTGTGGTTGGCACTGCCATGTGCAAACAGTTCCTGTGCTGTTCCAGGCAGCCAATTTGACAGCTCCCAGCTCAGCGTGACAGCAGTTCCTCCTGTAAGCTGTACTGAATCAGAACAACAGTGACACAAATCTCTGGCAGCTGCAGGTTTCATATAAGACAGTCTGCCTGTTATTCAGTAATGTATAGCAACCAAGTGTAAGAGATTTTTATTCTAGACATGTTCTCCGAAGTATGACTTTATTGTGTATCCACAGACATCAGGATGCATGATCTAATATGAGGAATTAGCAGCACACCAGCTGGAAAGTGAATAAATAATAAATAAATAAAATATCATGGTTATTAGTTCATTTATTTATTTTTTTATTTACTAAAAGAAAGATAAGGTATGGTATCTGCAGGGTTTCAGACTGAATGCCTGATGAAAACTGTTCCTGAAGAGAGTTAAGTGAGTTTCTGTTCAGGCACCGCCTTGAACAGCCATCTCGTGCTGGTGTCGAGAAGGACCCTGCAGTCCACTATGGCGGCGCCCAATGGGACTTTAAACTGTGAGGACTTTTCCATGTTTCAGGTAATTTAAACCAAAAGGATTCATTGTTTTTACACAAACGCCGCAGAGTGAGAGGTCGGCCGGAGTCCTCGGTCCTCAGAAGTTTGCATAATCGGTTCTTTGTTTTCTCTGAATTATGACCCTCCTGATCCTTCAAGGATCCAGACTGGATTACAGAACTGGAAACTTGCAGCATGTGTGCTTGGAGTTAGCATCACAAAGAGTCTCCATCAGCTGATCCGAGTCTACTTGATCAACGCATTATCAGAGTGTTCAGTCCTTCACTATGAAGCTCACAGTTTGTCTTCAGGTCAAATTACGTGAGGAATTACATAGTTCCTAAAAGGAACCATGAATTATTAGAATTGTGCAAAAACAAATGTTATATGAACTGTTTTTGAATGGCAGACTTTTTTTTTTTTTTTTTTACCAAGAAGGGTTTTGTTAAGATTTTTATACCCTAGAACTTTTTTTATTGGAGTTTTATTTGATGGGTAGTTGAGTATAATTGTAATGTTGTAGAAAAATACCTTTTTTTTTAAAGTGATTGTACAAATAAACAACTGTAAAATGAGATTGATTTGTAATCAATCTCATTTTAATACCCCAAAATAACTGCAGTGCAATAAATTGCCACAGCTGGTGAATAATGTAATCACAGTGTATATTCAGATTTTCTGTGAACGCCTCTTTAGATCTGCTAGGACAACAGGAAGATGCTGTGGAGAAGTTTAAACCAAACCACAACAAACAACTATCCTCTTAAGACTTGACTGTCCACTTAGCAGGCTGGACAAGGAGAGTATTAGATATAGAAAAAGCCAAGAGGCTCATTGGTAACTCAGAAGGAGATTTAGAGACTCACAGCTCAGATGGGATAATCTGCTGACCTGACAACTTTTAGCTTCATACTTTGTAAATCTGAGCAGGAAAGCCATCAAAGCTCCCACCTGCAGTTTACCAGTGGTGTAAGGAGGCGGTTGTATGACAGAAAAATTTGACCTGCACCCAAAACTCTACGTAGCAGAAAGCTAAACTTTCACATCACCTCAAAAAACAACAAATGCACAGTGAAACATTGCGGTGGCCGTATCAGAGAAGACAGAGAAGCTGATCTGAGCAGATGGAGCTAAGTACAGTACAAACATCGAAAAAAACCTATTTGTGGGTGTAGAACTCACTGGTGTCAGATGAAGGTTCACTTTAGCAAGACCCTAAAGATACAGCAAGAGCAGCATGCTTATGTTTTGGAATGCCCTAGTCAAAGTCCAGATATTAATATGGGAATATTTGACTTAACTTTGAGATTATTTTCATATTCTTCTTATCATATGTGATTTAACTGGGCATTTTTGCAAAGAATAGACAAACATTTTTGTCTACATTTCCAAAACTGACTTAGAAATTAAAACAAAGCCCCAAAAAGACTAACTACTGACTCAACTTGTATTTGTGAAAAACAAAAAAGAATATACAATTTTCTTTCCACTTCATAATTGTTTTCTGCTTTTTGTCCTGTCATGTAAAATCTCAATAAAATTAATTTATTTGCATTTTATAAATAAAAGCGTCTTTTTTCCAGGAGGGGTTGAAGGTGATGCGCACTATAGACGACCGCATCGTCCACGCCCTGAACACGACTGTGCCCACAGTGTCCTTCTCAGGAAAAGTGGACGCCACACAGACCTGCAAAGAGCTTTATGAGTCGGTGAGTGTCCGAATGAAATTAAATGTGAACTCTGCAGGTTTCTGCACAGTTGTAACTTATGTCTCCATATCTCTTGTCTGCATCTCACAGTTGATGAAAGCCCATCTGAGTAGAGACAAAGCCATCAAGGCGTGCATAGCTCAGAAATCAGAGGTGGTGGTGCAGCTGCGGGAAGAACGAGAAAAAGACAGCGACAATCTGAAACTGGTCAAACAGCTTCGAAAGGAGCAGACCAACGTAAGCCAGAGCAAATTAAAATACATTTGTGGATATTAATATTCTGTAATGGCTAGTATCTGACTCCTTCAATGTATTTTTTAAGATTAGATATGCTCACACAAATACATAAGCAGTTAATTCCAAAGATAATCATCTTGTAAAAAAAACTGATTGTTACTTTTTGTCTTGTGTTATCCTGCCTCCAGTTGAAGCTCATGCAGTCAGAGCTTAACGTTGAAGAAGTTGTCAATGACAGAAGTCTCAAGGTACAAATGCGTCCCTATCATTCCTTTATTCATCCTTAAAAATGTAAAACAGTACTTGTAAAACACTACTTGTGTTTTTATTCCCTCTCAGGTTTTTGTTGAACGATGCAGAATCCACTACCTGCCTCCGAAGGTGTAGCGAAGATCCCTCTGAGGAAAGAGAGCCTCTTCGCTCTGTGTTTCAAACCAGACTGGGGCAGAGCGTGTGTGTGCCGCTGCTGAGCACCGACGGCTCAGCAGGCGACACTCGTCCAGCGACCAATCGGAGCTCCTCTCCACTTCACCTGTTCTCAGTGTCATTATGTTATAGCAGAATGAAAGCTGTAAAAATCATCTTGATTCACAAGGGGTTATTGTACAAAAGCTTTTTAAAAAAAAAAAAAACACACAATGAACTGTTTTCAAGCGACTTCTGTTGTCCGTGTTTTAAATCGTTAGCATAAACCTGGTGCTTCTGACAGGCAATGAGCTGAGCTGGACCTGTTTTATTATCATTTATCATTAGACATCTTTATTGTTTAAGATCTATCTCTCAACATGAGATAGATCTTTACTTAGTATATTTAGATATTTTATATAAGACATTACAGCTCTTTCAAAATGAACATCACAACAACCCAAAATAAGGTTAAAAGTTTATTCTGATTTATTACAAAGCTTATCTCTAATATTTGGTGCTGCAAAAAAGTATTTGCACCCTCATAGGTTTCTTTTCTTTTTTGCCTCACATTTTAGTCATATCAACCTGACCCTGTGTGAAACTGAATTTCCCACTAAACCTAATAAACAGTTGAGGCCCCCTTGGTAGCAACAATTGCCATAAAGAGTGAACAAATAAAGGCAATTAGTCGTTCACATTGTGCTTTTAAGGTCATGCCACAGAAAGGCAATTAGATTCAAGCCTTGACTTGGTCTAAGTTTAGCAAAACCTTAATTTTGTTGAAGTTCAAAGATGAGCATGCAGTTGTGTTTTGAATCACTTGTCTTGCTGCATAACTTGCTTCAGTTTCAAACTGCTGGTCAGACACGATCCTTCTCTGATAGAGAACAGAATTTCTATCATTTCTATTCTAATCATTTCAGAATTTCTGATTCTAATCATTTCAAGATGTTGCCTAAACTGTCTTGAGGCACCAAAACAAGCCTTGGAGAGTTATTTTTTGTTCTTGTTGTGAGAGGCTGCAAAGTAGGGTTGCAGTTCATCTAAAACAAATTCCACCAATTTTCAGGAGTCGAGTTTCATCTGATATATTATTTTTAAAAAGCTTTGATCAGGACCTGGGAGTGCTTTTTGAGATTGGATCAAGATATTCTTAAAATATGCCTACATAGTGAACACACTGTGCTTCTTGTTTTTTGTTTGTTTTTATCCTTTTTCTTATATTAAGTTTAGATATGAGGTCTTTTTATAAAATAAAAAGTCTTTTGGGCAGTTATAGCTATATTTAATAGATGTTAGTACATTTTCAACATATTAATGCAATCAGTAAGGTAGTCATACTGCAAAATAGCTGTATCAAACAACCACTAATATACTGACAGAAACAGTCAAACTTAAGCCATCCCAACATGCTCTTTCATATAACACAGCAGTGCATTTTGCTGTAAGGCTGCCGGGGTGAAGTTGTGTTTTCTCATCAGTCCAAAGGTCTGATGGGCTCCAGAGGATCTCCTTCTTCGTGTTTTTCTACCCTCTTCAGTAAAGTTTTAATCTCTCCCCTTGTTGGAGAGCTTTGGAAGGCATAAATATGGAGGTATTCACTTCCTCCTGCATGAACCTGAAGGGAGGAGACAGCAGAAAGGCATTTTTGTTTCATTGGAAGTAATATAAACACATTTACATCTCGGAACACAGACTATTTGACAGTAATAGAATATGATGTCAAAGAAAATCTGCAGGTATCACCTTGATGAGAAAGTTTGTTCCTGCCATTGGTTGTTCCCTGTATTCAATGGCCTTAAATATTTCATAGCTCTGTTTGGTCCACTTTTTCTCTGCGTCGCTCTTCAGCTGTGAGTTGGTAACATTAAATAGAGATTGAAATCTGAGCTGCAAAGCTGCATGAAGACAGTATGAAGGATGACTGGAGCTCACCATGTCACAGATCTCCTGAGTTTCTTCTGTGGCCGGTTTTATCTCTGTCCATTTTCCAAGCATTCCTGCCATGCTGGTGATTTCTGGTGAAGTCAAATGTCTGTTGCTGTAAACTCAAAATGAGAAAGACGGAAGTTTTCCAGCATGTGGTTATCGTATTTGCTCTGGGTAAAGACTGGAATGTGGTTCTCCTACTTAACAGGTGGAGCTATGAGTGAAACCCTCACCTTTTAGTGAAAGAAACTAAAAATAGGAATTAACCACCAAAATCTAGATAACATAGGATAAACGTGACATAAAGAAAAGAGTGAAACAAAGTCACTGACAGAGACAGCCATTGCCCTTTCTTTGTTTTAATTTTATTTTGAACTTTCACTTTCTCAAAGACTAGACCACGTTGAAGTTTAACGTTGAAGAAACAATGGTGACGTGCTGCCCCCTAGTGATGAATCAGGGGGTTTTCCTCCACAACCACTGGGACGTCTGGTAAAAATGTGTAAAAAGCCGAAAAACATTCAACCCATATAAACGAATGGTTATTTTTGAATTAAATTTGTTTTATCATCGCTCGATCATGTATGTATATACATATGCATGTATGTATGTATGTACATCTGTAAATATATATATATATATATATTTTTTTTTTTTTTATTATTATTTATTTATTTATTTTTTGACAGAAAAATTGACTACAATTAAGCATATTTTTTCTTTTATTGCCTTTTACTCTCAGTGTATGGACTACTCTTTATGGCCTGACATGATATGAACAGAAGACTGTTCTTAACGCTTTTTAGAAGAAACTACAGTCTTCGACATGTCATCTCCACTTCAGTTCAACTTTTTAGTAGTCAAGTCTTTTGGAGTACTTTTCTTTTATTGTTGCACACCAAGATAAGGAATTAATATTTTCCTAATTATTTTTTGTAAAATATATTGAGCTCAGTCAGATTGACTGTAGACTCTACAGTCAATCTGACTGAGCTTATTGTCCACTGAGCTCCATATATTTCAACATCTGATGTTCACAGTCACTCTACAGTGTAAAATGTCTTTGAATTTCCAGCTCTCTTCGGGTCTTTGCTGGGCTATACTATCACATGATGCATAAAAAGGAACACAGCACACATTTCTAGTCAATTAAATTCTGGATAAAATATGTATCAGTGCCTTTGACATCAGTGTAAATGCAAATGCATGTAATTAAGTACAAGGTGATATGAAGCTCATAGTTTTCTTTGGTCGGCATCCTGCAACATCTTTCTTTATTGATATGTTTATACAACATTGATTCAAATGAATCAAAATTCAATTTTGCAAAAACTGAATTCAGAGAAGAAATTTAACAACTGAATTGTCTTTCATTATGCATTTATTTTATATGTTAATATTCAATTATCGTGACATTTCAGTTAATGTCCAGTGTTTGAGAGTTAAAATCTGAAAGCACCACTTTTATTTGATTTTGTTAGCATGCACAAGATACAGAAATACGATTGAAACATGCCAATTCCACTTTACTAAAAAGGTACAAGTGGACCATCTTTGTCTTGTTCTTCTACTTTTGTCACTTCCACGTTGCCCGACAGGTCTTGGTAGAGCAGTAGGTGGAGGCATTTAGCTTCGCTCACATCAACCTGCAAAAAACAAGCACAAAATTGAAGGACTTTATTAAATGTATATCAATTTGTGTCAGTTTTGAATATCAAAGTTTTTCAGAAATCAGCACAGCCCGCATATTCAATCACATCTGAATATGTCCAGCTTTACTTTGAAAAGATATGTGGAAAACATTCATTATGTCATTCATTTTCCAACAAATTTAATCATTTGATTTGGAAATTAGCAAGACACACTTTGAACATTGCCAGTCTATCACGGACACAGGCCAACAACTAATCACACTCACACTCACCAGAAATTTAGAGTCTCAAAGATTAACCTATAACTCATTTGTCTCAAAAAGCCAGTGTTAAACAAAATCAGAGTGTGTTACCTTAATGAGATAGTTTTTTCCTTCCACCACCTGCATCTGGTATGACATTGCAATGAACTCTCTGTAAACCTTCCCAGGTATCAGTCCAATCTCAACTTCTGAATATCTTGATGCCACACCTCATATTTCTCTGAAAGTGTCCCGTTGATCGGGGAGTAACCTAAGTGTTTCAACAGAACTGAGTCATGAAACATTCAGAAGTGACCAGGTGCATTAGCTTTTGGATGTATGTAAAAAGCATTTGGATAAATATGTTGGAAAAAACTCTGAATTTAATTTTACCTACTGGAATGTAGGCAGCAGGGTAACACAACCTGACCACAGTATTTAATTGGCCCATGAATTCCTTGTATGTTCTCTTTTTGTTTGTTTTTTTTACAATATCCTCCATCTCTTGATTCAGCTGTGGAGCAATGAAATTAAGATAATATTTTAATGCAGTTCAAGTTGTTTTAAATGAACCAATTTATACAATGTGGAAACAGATCTTTTTCACAAGCAACACACAGTTCTTTGAATCATAGAGTGTCAAGCTAAAAAACAAGCTTTTATCTTGCCTTTTATCTTTATTTAGTTGTAATGGTAGTTTTAGTAAAAGAAAGTTATAGACAGAACAACTTATCACCTTGTCATTTTAAAAACTACTATGAGTGTAAAAACTCATCTGTTTTATTTTTAAGTTAACTGAGATCTTGATCATGAGCTAAGATCAGCGAACATCTTTTTCAGTTAGAAACCTCAAATGCAGCTTGAAACTGTTTGTTATTATGTACTAAACTAAGATTTGATGAGGAACAGCAGTCCAAGTGACAGAAAAACAACATGGCTTTTTGAAGCCACCGGCAGCTGTTGTAGCTTTTGTTGGTTGTGAAAAAAAAAAATCACTCAGATGCATGGATTGCATGCCAATACATGCAGGCAATCTCAACGTTCTGAATAACTTAATGCAAACCAAACATTTCTCTGGAACTGAATTATCTTTCAGTGAGAAATTTAGACTGTTTCACCAGAACTGAGTTTTAAAACATTGTGACCAGACAGGAAAACAAGTCCACCACTCCTCAATCAACATTACTTTTAAGATGTTGCCATAGATAACTTTCCACACAGCCCATATCAACAACTGCCGCTACTCATTGATTTTGATCTGCTTCATAATGAATAGTCAAAGATGTATCATTTGGAGAAAACCGCCCTAAATAGTTGAAGCTGTATTTTCAGGAAAACGTAGTCGTGTAAATTATTGACTTAGCAGTCAATTGACATTCAAATGACAAATGAACTGTACTTGCATAATGATTTCAAGTCCAGAGGAGCCCAAAGCACTTCATGAGGATTGATTCATTCATGAGGCTGATGGAGTACAGCTACTGGACTGTATGAAAAAGATTTCTTGTAATATAGACCACTCTTTGAAAAATCTGACTTAATATGAGATACAACATTTAATTTTCTTGTCAGATCCTTAAAATATATATTTTTAATTTGAACTGAATTTAAAAAGCAGAGACAAATATCCTTTATAAATTATGTTTATTGAGCCATTTTAGGACATTTGACATCCCCAAGTGATGCAGAGATTCGACTCGTCCTGTATTATATAACCAAGTATTGTTGTCGCAATCTTGCTCATGACAATGCAAAGACATTTTTCTTTGAAGCAGCTGTCTGGAGGAAGCTGGATCAGTTTTTACTTCTGACAAATGAATCGAATGGTTCGAGAGGATCATCTTGTTTGTAGCCAGCCTGCGCTCCCTCAAATTTAGTTTCAATTGTGTTCCCCAGCAGAGGGCTTTGGAAGATCTGCAGGTGGACATAATCGTTTTCTCCCACCTTAACCTGCAGAGAATAGAGAGGAAATTATTTTCTTAACAGGACAGAGGCTGCATTGTTTCCAGGCAAATTTCATTTGAATCACATTTAGTGTTTCATCCTCATTATTTAAAGATTTTGTCTCACAACAAAGCTTTCAGTCTGTTTCTTACAGTGAAGATACTTTTCTTGTCAATGTTTTCTTTCTTTCTGTTTATTTGAAACACATATTTTGATCTTGTGTTATTTGTTTTGCTCTAGTTTTAATCAAATATATTGTACTAGTACATTGTAGTCAACTGAAGGTACTGTAAATGTATTTGATTATCATAAAACATCTTGGAAAAAGTTTCCTCCTTGAATACCTTGAGTCTTCTGAATTATGCTGTACAGTACTGACGCAAATAATCAACAAAAATAAAATAAAGCACCGATAAACATATGTTTTACACCATCAAGAAATGGCTGCTACATTGTTCATGTTGCATGGTCTTAAATAAAATAATAGAAATCCTTGCTTATTACCTTGATGACATAGTTTATACCTGCCACAACTTGTGACCGATATTCAACTGCTGTGAATTCATTAAACTTTCTGTTGGTCGCTCCCTCTGAAATGTTCCACATCTGTGTGAAAATCACATAAAAACAAATGTTAGAACTGAATTCTTGCAGGGAAACATTTTTAAACATGAAAGAAACTCACCCAACTAGAAAGCATAGAAATTTCCCCATTAGCAGGCCTGGGGTCTGTAAATCCTCCACAAATAATTTTTTCACTCATTACTGCTTTTTACAGTGAAGAAAAGTGTCTGCTGCTATCATGCTCAAAAGCTGAACATCAGACAGTTTCCAAGCCCATTTATACTGTAGGTGTTGTGCAAACAGACTAGAAGATAGTTCCTGAGAATCAAGAAACAACCTGCTCTGTGAGTTTTGTAATATTTCCTTTACAGTTAAGCATTAGCACAAAGGGTTTGTTAAGCTGCCAACTACAGTTCACACACAATTTGCACAAAGACAATTTCACTTATTGAATTATTAAATTAAACCCCAGTTTCAAATTGTGGGTTTTGATTTTCTATTAGTTTCTATTTTCTATTATTTGATTCTGTATTATTAGTACAAAACAATATGGTTGTGTTTGCTGCAATTCTCAGATCGTTTCCTATACACGTATACGAGTTAGACAACTTTCTTTTACGATCTGATTGTCTTTATGTATGATTTAAATACCAGACTCTCTTCTGGGTGCCACCAGTGAGTTATATAAAACTGTACTGCTATACTGTATATCCTTAGCCAGCAGAAACCTTTCTTATCACTGTAACTTAATTGTTAAAACAAACATCTGTCATCAATCAAGCTTTAGGTCTGAAATACTTGAACCTAGGAATGATATCTGAGGTTCAATCAAATCAAAAAAGGGGCTCTTGCTAGCAAGGTCAAACTCCCATGCTGTTTAATTTTGGTATTTGTGTCTTACTTGTACCATTGGTCCTCATTCATAACTTCTAACAAAAAACACTTTCTCTCCTGCTGCTAAGTTGCTTTCATTATCCAAGACATATAATCTGGGTTTTTTAAATTTCATTTATTTAACCAGGTAAACCCCGTTGAGATCTGGATCTCATTTTCAAGAGGAACCTGGGCAGAAGTCTGCAATACACAGTAACTTGGTTACAAAATAAAACCAATTAATGCATATTCACAAATATAAAATAATAAAAACAAGTTAAAAGCATTGACACTGTTTTATAAAACAGTGTCAGTGCAAAATAAGTCCAATGAAGTCATTTTGAACATCTTGAGTTCTGACTGAAGTTGATTCCATGCTGTAGAAGCCAACACACTGAATGCTTCCTTCCCTTTTTCATTTCCAACACATGGCACATGCAGAAGAATAATGTTGTAAGAGCGTAAAGAATGAGAACTAACAGATCTATGTAAGACAGTGCTTACATATGCTGGGGTTAGGAGATTTGTATATCAAGATCATGAAATGATTGTTTCTCCATACACTTAAAGGAGGCCATTCAGCTTTTGGATACAAATCACAATGATGTGTAAAACGTACCAGTTATAAATTTTAAAGCACAATCATACACATAATCCAAGAGTGGCAGGAATGTCGCTGCTACCACTTCTAGCTTTGAGTGAGAAACAGGATCCATTTCGATAATAAACCCAATCTTCATTTTCAATCTTCGTAATAGATTTGCTATGTGATTTAAAAGAAAGTTCATTATCTAGAATAAAACCAAGATATTTATAATGACTGACAAATTAAATTTGTGTACCTGCAGCAGTGGTAAGCAATAGTGGGATTTCTGGTAGTTTTCTAGAGTGTTAGAAAACCATTGCCTTTGTCTTATCCATATTCAAAACCAACTTCAGAGTTTGTAAGCATATTTGAACTACATTAAAAACAGACTGCAATAGCTATATTGCCTGAGACAGAGATGAAGAATAGCACTACATTATTAAATCATCTGCGTAAAAATGATAAAAAGCATTTGACAAATTGTCACGCAAGTTATTTACATAAATAGAGAATAAAAGTGGACCAAGAACTGAGCCTTGAGGTACGCCATTTAAAATTGTGAGAATTGAAGAAGTGAAGCCAGCCAACTGAACTCTCTGGGTCCTGTTGGACAAGTAATCAGCTAGCCACATGGTAGCTTGATGTGAGAGCCCAACCTTGTGTAGAATTTCAATTCAAAGCGGGTGATTTATGGTGTCAAATGCCTTTGATAATTCAATAAATAAAGCAACACAATGTTTTTTGTCATCAAGAGCCTGTATAAGATTATTGAAACCCTTAAAGTGGCAGTAACAGTGCTATGCTTTTTTTCAAAACCAGATTGTACATTTTGTAAAACACAATTAGAATCTAAAAACATCTTTAATTGATCTGCAAATAATTTTTCAAAAAAATTTCCAAAGATACATAGTTTTGAGATTGGTCTGTAATTGTTTACCTGTGATATTTTTTCATAAAAATGAAAGCAAAGTGCATGAAGGTAGACCAGTCTGTCAAGAACTCCCAGGCCACTGTTTCTTCCTCTTCCACCTCTTTTGGCAACTGTTAAACTTGTTGGTTGAGGAAGAAAATATTTGACTGACAGATGATCTGTCAATGCATGAGGAAGGCATCAGATCAAGCACGGAACCTGTCATTTCTCTGGAGCTTTAGCAGCTTTAAGGGAGGAATTTAAACCAGTTAAACAGAACTCAATCAAGTTTATTTGTATGGGCTTGATTGAAACTGAGCAGAAACTGAAAACACTCTGTCACCCTCATTTTGTACTAAAAGACTGCAAGGTGGTTTATATGAAGCGCTTCTGAAAAATAAATTACTTTGAGAGACAAGAAGGAATTGCCAGGAAAACCTGGTAAATGAGCTTTCTTCCCAATATCAGTTAAAATTAGCCTGCAGCTTTTTGTACCTGCAAGTCGGTTCCAGGAGGCCGACTGATTGCACACACAGGAGTTGACAGAATAGTTTTAAAGAAAAATCAGTTTTGACTCCTGAACTTGTCTTCATAGGTTTTTCATACTTTGTCAGAGAGAAAATGTTGATGTCAGGGGCCCTAGTGTTTTATAGCCTGAAAAGCTTGACTTCTGTCTTACCTTAACTTAAAGTCAATACATTTTGCAAATGGCTTTGTGCTTGTGTAGCACTTTATCAAGTTCAGAGGTGCTTTAGATTAGTGATTCACCCACACGCTGATGGTGAGAAGACAATGGATAGTAGCTCCAGCACATCCTACAGTGAAGTAGGGCTGCCACTTTTCAGATGTGACAATAAGAATACGTGTTTAGTTGTACTTAAAAATTTGACGAGGGGTAACTCTTTTTTTCTATTTGTGAAATTCTGAAAAAAGTCTACAATTACAAAACTATGTAATTTTTGTCTCTGAAGCATCATTATGAATTAAAGCTTTTCACATGGAGCTCCTCCCATCTTGAAGTAGAACCACCTTCCAGGCTGCCTGGAAGTATAAATAGATTCAAAATTCAACCCATGTCAGGCTGACTTTAAGCATTTCAGACCAAGTGAAGCTTTTGATTCTTTGCTAAAACCAGAAGACGACGTCAGAATGGCTAACGGTGGCAAAATTGGCCCAATTGGCCCAGTTATAATCTGGTCAGAAGTGAAGTATACTGATGACAGGATTCAGGTCATGTGTAATCAGGTGAGATTCATTCACTTCATTTATTCTTTAAACCTTACAGATAAACATTTTCATTCTGTGTTTAAGGTTTGTGTTTTTTAATATTCAGGTGATGCTCAACGTAATGAAACAAACAGGGAAAAATTACAAGGAATTCAAAGTAGTCTTTTACAGAGAAAGTGATATGATAATTCTGAACTATATCATCAAGGTGAGAATAAGTTATTTCATATCATTTGCCATTATCCTAAAAAAGGAAAAACATCCATTATTGATTTGTTGTTTTCTAATGACTTTTAGTAATGAGTAATAGAAATACATGCAAGTTAAAAACTGTTCTGTGTTTTCCGGTATAGGTTTATGTTGGAGATGAATACCTCCATCTGTCGATCGGCCCACCTGCTGCTGGTGGTGAGAAGTTAATCGAACTCAAAGGAGTGCAAGAAGGTCACAAATGGAATGACCTTCTTGAGCCTTTTAATTACAATTAATGCCCATCAACTTCCATTTAAATGTAGTAAAGTTTGTTACAATATTGTTGTCTGTGGACTTTATTGTCTTGAGTATTGGACATTACTTGTACTGCAAATATAAAAATAAAATGCAAACTATAAATACATCAATGTTGTTTTTTGAATTTCTGCTGTCATGCTTGATTTCTTTAAAATGTTATAATTGTTATAATAATTTAGAAATATGTATTTGAGAATAAATAAGTGACAAAATTCCTTCTCATATGTTGTATTGATTAAATATTTTCAGCAAAAAGCAGTAAGAATAATAATTCTGATAATTCAAGGCCTCTTTTACTTTTTATTTTAATTTTACTTTTTCTGTATGTGTCAGAATAACTGGAGGTTTATGAAAGATTTGTTGTCTTTTACTTTGGATTTAGTCTGTTTACATTAGCTGTAAATAGTTGCAGATTTGATTCTGCCAATCAAATCTGATCTTGCTTAACTGTGGGTGAACTGAATGAGTCTCTGTGAAGCAGGGGTGGACTGTCACATGTGACTGCCTGTGATTTTCCTGGTGGATTGATGGGTTTGTGGCCTGGTAGCTTGTGGAGAAGCTGTCAAACCCACTCCATATTCTCCCATCACTAGGAATGGGTTGGCAATCGAGAGATTCAGGATGTTTCCCAAAACCCTGGTCAGTTTCAGGCCAAACTGGACAGTGGTTGCAATGTGTTTCTTTATCTTTTACCCAAAAAAAGCACATCAGAGCTGTCTGCCTTCAGAGAAAATCATACAGTTATTAGAATCAGTTGTTCTGGAACCGAGACCCATCTAAAATGTGCAGGGCAGAGAAAGACATCAGAGAAATATTGTACTAACCTCTTAAGATCAAAGGATTGTGGTCCAACTTCAGCTTTTTAAGATTTGGAAAGCACCAACAGAAAAATATCTCTGGAGGCACCACTGAAGATAATTAAAGTGCTACTACTCACTGAGAAACCTGAGACTAAATTGTGGAGGTTATTTCAGTTGTTCTTTGTCGCCATCAAGCGGCTAAATATTAATATGATCAAATTACGTTTTTATAGACGTTGTTTTTGACATATTTCATTCTCTCCCCTCACTTGTAAGCAATGTTTTCTGTTGGGACGAGTTATGATTTCAACAATAAAATAGTATTTAAAAAAAGAATGTTCAGAATGTTTT